ACCGCTGACCTGCTGATCTAGCAGTAGCCTGCAGTGCTGCATTTAACCACTGCGCCACCTTGGCTCCTGAATGAATGCTGTTGCAGCTATGTTGGTCTGGTTCCTGCCTACTGAAACTCACTACACAAAATGTATCATCTTCTCAATTGGTGTCCTTCAGATATCTTAGGACAGGGGTGTCAAACTCTAGGCCTGCGGAGTACTTAAATTTGACCCATGGGGCTGGCCTACAAATAGCAAAGGACTGGCCTGTGGGGTCTCTGGCAGCCGAAACTGGGTGCAGGGGGGCTTCATGCAGCCCCCACAAGCCCTGTTTTTGGCCTGGGCATCCTCCTGCAGCACTCTGCTGGCCAAAATGGGTACTGCAGGAGGCTCGTCCAGGCTAAAAACAACCCCCTCCATGCAGTCCATTTTGGCTGGCATGGTGCTGGAGGAGGCATCCATCCCATCCTCTCCCCGCTACCCTGGTGGCCCGCAGAGGAGAACTACAATTCTGATTCAGCCCTTGAAGAAATCCAGTTTGACCCCTCTGTCTTAGACATCGCCTTCAGAATGCTAAATTGAAGCGATTTTCAGCTAGATCTTTCGGATATTTTGAGGGTTGTTGTCTTAACCGAGGCCTGCAATCCCAAAATCTTGGAAGGACATCACTTGGACATCATCACATTCATACACTGGTTTCTAAGCAAAACTGGTGGAGAAACATCTGTGGTCACTCGGTAGCTGAGGTCTGTTGGAGCATGTGATTCGGATCTTCATCTATTTACGGTTCGTTGGGGAAAGTTGATGCTGAATTTCTCTAGACCGGTCTTATATAACAAAGAATTAAATCCTGGTTAGCTCGCTGCCTCCCCAAAGTGTGTTTTGATTGCATGCCCACGACTTCATTTTATGTAACAAGATTTGCATTTGTCTCGGTGTCGTGTTTGTGCAATGAATTTTTTTTCTTCTTCTCTTGCTACCCATTCTTTGCAAAAAATAAATAAAATGCAGAGCGGGGTCGGGGGGGGGGGGGATCTCAACACCAGAGAACAACATCATCTGGAATTCTTTGTCCTACCTTCATTTCCTGTTTCCTTTTTCTATCCCTTTGTGCATTAAAGTTCAGAGAGAAAAATGAGAATCCTGACTTTGAAATATGTGCCCTGTTATCTGCATATTTTTTTTTGTTCAAATGGTGAAAATGAAATTCCTAGGAAAAGAAAGGGGGGTGGAGAGAAGAACCTGAAGCAAAACAATTATCCAGGGGCTGTTTGGGGAGCTAAAATGTGGAGGAATAGAAAGTCACTTCAGGTTGTTGCAAGGGTGAAATTCAGCAGGTTCAGACAGGTTCTAGAGAATTTTGAGCAGTCCGGAAAACTGCAAATACCACCACTGGCTGGTCCCAGGAATGGGGTGGGAATGGAGATTTTGCAATATCCTTCCCCTGCCACGCCCACCAAGCCACACCCACAGAACCGGTAGTAAAAAAAAAATGAATTTCACCACTGGGGTGTTGTATAGAGAAGCCAATATTGATCAGTCGACAGTAAAGCAGGTCGTGAATGAAGCAATTTCTGTCTTCAAACAATACTTTGATTTGTGAAGAATGCAATAGATTGAGTTAAGTGAACCCAAGAAAGGTAGAAGGAAGGAAGGTAGGAAAGAAGGAAAGAAGGTTTAAAATATAAATTTAGCATGATGCATTTAGAAAATCTTTAAGATGGCTTGGAAATGTCATGTCTCTTCCTCCTCCTCCTCTCTCCAAACATCACTTTCTTCTAGCACTGATGATGTTACTTAGTTGGGTTATAAAATGTCCACAAGAAACAGGAAAAATAAGAGAGCTGTAAGAAACCCACAATCTTCCTCCTCCACCACCTTGTCTCTCTCCCCTCATCCTCGTCCTTCTCCTCTTCTTCTTCTTCACCTTCATCTTCGCCTTCTTCTCCATTTCCTCTGTCCTTCCTCTCCTCCTCCTCCTCCTTGTCTCTCTCCCCTCCTCCTCCTCCTCTTCTTCTTCGCCTTCATCTTTGCCTTCTCCATTTCCTCCTTCCTTCCTCTCCTCCTCCTCCTCCTCTTCCTCCTCCTGCTGTTCTTCGCCTTCACCTCCATTTCCTCCTTCCTTCCTCTCCNCCTCCCTCCTTTCCTTCCTTCCTTCCTTCTTTCCCCCTCTCTACTCCTCCTCCATATTATTATCTATTGCCCAGTTCTCAGCAGTTATTTAGAAGTTACCGGAAACTTACAACATTGCGTGTCACATCTGATCGTCGGAAATAGAAGTTCGGGTGAACTGGTAGCATTTCACCCCTGGTCCTACCCTAAGTTCAAACAAATCTTCCTCCTTGGAATGGCATTTAATTTTGGCTTCTGACTCTCTAATCAGCTTATTTATTAACGTTGCTTGGAGCTACAAAACATAATGCGGTGTCATGAAACACACAACCGTATTGGTTACATAGCAATCCAGGTAGTCTGGGGCACAGGAATGTAATGGAGCCGGCCCACAAATCACGATGGTTGTAAAACGGGTCGGTCTGATCATGCGTCCATCCCGATTTTAGGACCTTTTTTTTTTTTTTTGCAGAGGTTGTTAAGTGAACTTAGCAGTCATAAAGTGCCCACTGAGGCCATTAATTGAGCCAGCGTCCAACCCAGCTTCATCCTGGTGCAGAGTGTTGATTGCTTCTCTTTGTGTTCTTGTCCTTTTGCAGTTGGCAAAGGGGGTGAATGCTGGTCAAGGCCTGGGCATCGAAATCATTGCAACGCTGCAGCTGGTGCTTTGTGTGCTCGCCACAACGGACAAGAGGCGAACGGACGTCTCCGGATCAGCACCACTGGCCATCGGTCTTTCCGTAGCCTTGGGTCATCTACTGGCGGTGAGTACAGATTCAAGATTCATGTATTGGCACGTTTGCCAAACCATAATAGCACTTAGACTTATATACCGCTTCGCAGTGCTTTACAGACCTCTCCAAGCGGTTTACGGAGTCAGCTTATGCCCCGCACCCTCAAACAATCTGGGTCCACATTTTACCCATCTCAGAACAATGGAAGGCCGAGTCAACCTTTAGCTGGTGAGATTTGAACTGCCAAACTGCAGCTAGCAGTCAGAAGAACTGCAGTTATTGTTGTTAATTGCGAAGTCGTGTCCGATCCATCGTGAGCCCATGGACAACGTTCCTCCAGGCCTTCCTGTCCTCTACCATCCTCTGGAGTCCATTTAATGCCTACTGCTTCAGTGACCATCCAGCCCCCTCCTTCTCTGACATCCCCTTCTTCATCTTTTGCCCTCCATCCGTTCCCAGCATGAGGCTCTTCTCCAGGGAGTCCTTCTTCCTTCTCCTTAGGTGGCCAAAGTCTTTGAGTTTCCTCTTTGGGATCTGGCCTTCTAAAGAGCAGCCGGGGTTGACCTCCTCCAGGACTGACCAGTTGGATGGCCTTGCAGTCCAAGGGACTCGCAGGAATCTTCTCCAGCACCAGAATTCAAAGGCCTCAATTTTTTGGCCTTCAGCCTTTCTCATGGTCCAACTTTCACACCCATCCATTGCAAACATACAGGTTGGAGTCTATAATTGTTCAATCACTCCACATTTTCTCTTGTTATTACTTTCATTTTGTTATATAAAAATGTGTAGACTAACATTCCCTCTTCTCTTATTTTTATCCCTTATTCTAGCTTTAATCATGTCACCCTTTATTAAACAACTTTTTCTTTCTTTCCTAAGAAAAAGAAAGAAAAGTTTTTTTTAATATAAGGGTGACATGATTAAAGCTAGAATAAGGGATAAAAATAAGAGAAGAGGGAATGTTAGTCTACACATTTTTATATAACAAAATGAAAGTAATAACAA